GCTATTGAAGGATGGGAAATTTGAGACTTCGCGTCAGTCTCAAACTCATCAGAAGCACCCAGGAGTGAACTGTGGGTTGTGCGCTTGTGAAACCTGGCGACATCAAGTTTATCAAAATATGTACGGAGATTCGAACATGATTTTGATACGAGGAGTGATTTCATGAGTTTATAAGAAACTGGTCGCAACGAATAACATAGCCTATCATTCATAATGCCAAATTTGCTGCTGTGAAATGCCTTGCAGACAACACCGTCTTAGTAGTGTGTGCCGGTCAACAAAAGTTCATCTATGATTTTCACTCTGAGCTATTCAACGAACGAGTTCACCGGCGCCAGGGCATTTTCTCAAGAAAACTTCAGATGAAATACAATTTTATGTCTCTCTTTGAGACAAGTCATTCATCGTGAGCACCAAGGATTTGGTGGTTCAAGATCAATGACGGCCTACAGATGCTTGAGGTAGGCGGGTACATCCTAGCGCCACTTGAACGCGCTGAACGACCTGCCCCGGCAGTGAACGCGACGCGTCCACTGCTCCCACCTCGCAATTCACCGACTTAACTTCCTCCACGACGTCCATACACCATAATCTGACGCGACTGGGTTTGATGTAAGCCAAATAAGCCGGAGTTCCAAATCAATGCTAAGAAATTAGATGGATGATATGCGAACAATGACCAGAGTCGCATGCGACGCCTGCAGCAAACTCGCGGGAACCGCACACTGGGTCGTCAACGAGTTCCTCTATGACCTCGCTGAAGAGGTTGATGTCGCCATTGCAGAGAAAGACAAAATGCAGCGACGCCTCGATGAGATGAAGCCCAAACATTTCGAAGAGATGGCAAAATTTTATTCGGTGAAAGACACGCGCGACAGGAACGAGATTCACTTGGGCGTCTATCTGGACTTCGACGAGGCCAAGACGCCAGGGGGAAAGTTGTATAAGCAATGCGAAAGGGTCAGGAAGCGCAAAGAGAAGTCCGACATGCTTTTCAGCAAAGCAGAGAAACGCTTCATCCCCTTTCGCACAAAGTATGAAGCTGCTATGGAGTCTTTGGCCAAGGCGAATCGACGATTGATCAGCGCTAATACGGAATACATTTTCACCGAAACTCTGAAGAGTCGCAAGGAGAAGGAGCGACTTGCACAGCTGGCTTGCAGTAGCACCAACAGAACGATCAAGATCGAAGCATCTGATGCCTCGTTACTTGATATCCCCGAGGTGAAAATCGAGGCTTTCACCAAGGAAGTTATTGGTCAAACGATTCCTCGACATGATCTAGAAGCAGCTGCAAAGGAACTCTTTCCGGATGTCGATTCGATTGATCGCCATCGGTCCGGCGAGAAGACTTCAGATTGCCCAACGACGTCTCCCAGTATAGTGAGAAGTGGCGTACAACGGACCGGCCGGAGAGCGGTACACCGAAATCAACCCTATGTGTTATCACCGAGAACTTGCAACATATAGAAAGCCTAATAGTTGATACGAAGAAGTGGGAAGACTGGCGAAGATACTCAAGTTTTCCTCAATATCCTTCCCGCAGACGATCGAAACCTTTGATGTCTTTATCGCATGCTTCCATGGGTTGAATGGATCCAGTCCAGCAACTGAAAGTGAGGTAGGTAAGTCCTCACCGTGAACCAGATACCCTTCAACACTTCCAATCTCCTCACGTTCGACAAACAACTACCTGACTACTTAGACGGTCTTTGGGCCCGAGGCGTTATACCAGTTTGGCTCCAACTCGTAGAAGTCAGCTTTAGGAGGCCAAACCAATGCCTGAAGGACGCAACACAGCAAAGGGCAAGCCGGAAGTTCAGGATTGCGACCATCATGACCCACCCCACCATGAAGTGAACTTCGCATTTTTCTCCTGCTTGAAACAACTAACCACATCACAGAGGCTCAACCGCCATCATTTCTGAACGTCTTGCCAATGCGGGGAAACGACAAGGATCTCTTCTTTTCTTGCTTGGCGTCGGCTATTTGTTTACCTACCTATCACGTCTTTCTTATCTGCACGGAAAAAAACCTATCAATTGCAGCTCTTATCTCCATTTTTGCTGCACGCTGCCTTATCAACCGATCCTCATCTCTCTTTAGCTTCTTGGCAACATCTAGACCCATGATCCGGACGGAAACCTGAACGCTTTTTTCTTCACCGACAAACAAGAACATCGCTACTCTGCCGATGATGTTTGCATGGGGTGTGATGCGGTCTTATCGGGTATGGAGTAGCCCACATTGTTGCTCGAGTGGTCATGTCCATGACACATGCTGGATTGAAGCAGCCTGTTTCCTGGCCATGACGAACGTCCGGATAGGCGATATCGGTAAACTTTCCTTGGCATTGGAACCAAGCCGGATTACGCTCTGATTGAGCCATTTTCCGAAAACCACTCTACGCGGACGATACACCCCTCTATAAGGGAGTCTCTGTCACGTTCATAATGTCTTACTCTTTGTGCAGCCCATCGCCTGTAGGAGTCAACCATGCGGTCCTCGATTCACTTGCTTCCCCTCCTGGGAGGTTTGGGTTCTTTAGCAGAGGCAAAGCCGCTGGACCAGCCTTCTGTGACGTTCCTGTCCCCTTCGGAGGTCAGCCCAGGAAGTGCTCATAACGTCATTATTGAGTATGGCGGCAGTGCAGATGGTGAACTCACGATCACCTACGACTTATGCGACGGTGCTGCCGTCGTCTCGGACGCGAAGCAGCGTCTCGGCACAACTCATGTCGGTGACCATCCTCTAGCTGCGCGCCACATGGACCATGAGGATAGGCGGCCAACCAAGTTTGTCTGGTTGACACCTACCGACACGGATGGCGGGTGTCTTCGTGCGTTCCTCAATGGTGAGCTAGTGGGGCAATCTGAGGATCTTCCAGTCACCAAGCGCATGGCTCGACGAAGCGCCAAACGGTCGTTTGCAGACGTGGGAGGAGACGACAGCATGTGGTTCAACGGCGTGGCCTACCTGGAGCAGAAGCAGCCTGATGAGGCATTTGTCGCCGCGACAAAGAACAAGTCGTTCGGTATTCTCGGTGCCGGTATGTCTGGACTGATGTCGTCTGTAAGTCTAAGTTGCCGGCTCCCTTGATTTTTGGGTGCATGGACTGACCTGTTTGGATCATAGCTACTCCTGGACTCTGTTGGTATTCACAATTGGAAAATATTGGAGTCATCTGAGCGTCTCGGCGGCCGCTTCAGGACTGTCTATCTCAACGGTACCTCCCCCGAGGAAGGTCAATATCACGAGCTTGGGCCTATGCGTTTCCCGGTCGAGATCACAGACTCCGAGACCAACGAGACCTTCCCGTTCAACGATCAACGCATCGTTTTCCAGCTGGCTGACGTACTCAACGAGCTCAACGCTGGCAATGAATCGGTGCAAGTCAAGTTTTGGGATTGGATCCAAAGCTCTCCTAACACCCCTGTCGATTCTCCGTTTCGACGTCCTGATGGGACGTTCCCCGGAAAGACTGAGGTGGCAACTGACCCGGCCTACGCGAACCCTACCGTCTATAGTAACGCCACTGCTGCTGCCGAGGCCATTGCTGCTCTAGACAAGTTCAAGGGGCTCGACGCCGAACGCATTCGGATGTACGCCACCAACATTTTCGCGGCTTATAAGCAAGCTAAGGAAGACGGCATGTTCGATTATTCGGAAGTCTCCTACCTGCGGGACGTCATCAAAACGGACCTCAACACCACTGATGAGGTTTCACCATCCCACATCTACTGGCCCATGTGGGAATACGAAACCGTTTACTTTCTCGCCACCAAGTGGGTTACTGTCAAGGGCGGGCTTAGTAGATTGCCAGCCGCTTTTGAGCCTCTGATGAAGGGCAGAATCCAGTACGGGGCCAAGGTTAATGGTCTGCACTACAACGAAAACAAGACTGTGTCTGTCGCCTGGAAACCCACTGGAGCCGAGCCTTTCGAGACCCTTGAAGAAGTCGAGACCTTCGACTACGTAATGAACAGTGTCCCACTTAACTTGTTAAAGTTCTGGGATCTGCCCCCCTACTCAAGCCTTCTGAAGCGCGCTGTTGATCGAACCCTGTTCGGTAATGCTGTCAAGGTTGCTCTTCAGTTCAAGACTCGGTTCTGGGAACATCTCGAAAAGCCCATTTTTGGCGGCTGCACCCGTCTCACTAAGCCACAACTAGGCCAGATGTGCTACCCTTCGTGGGACCTGAACGCGACTGGACCAGGCACTATGCTAGCATCGTACCTCTCGGACTACGAGGCTACCGTCGCTTGCTCCATGTCTGAACAGGAGCACCTTGCCTACATCAAACGGGCTCTTATCCAAGTCCACGGCGATGTCGTTGAGGAGAACTGGACGGGCATTTCCGCTCGGCACTGCTGGGAACAGGATGAACACCATGCAGGAGCCTTCACCATGCAGATCTTCTCGCAGCAAGATCTTTACCTTCCCGCTTTCTACCAAACGCAGTTCAACACTGTGTTTATCGGCGAAGCAGCTACTTTCACGCACACCTGGACTTTCAGTGCCCTCGAGAGTGCTCTCAGGGGAACCGTTCAATTGCTTCTAGATATGGGTCTAGTAGACGAAGCCAAGCAAATTACTAATACCTGGATGGCGCGATTTATTGAAGTCTAGACTGGGAGTAAGGATATTGACAGGTGAAAGGAATTTCCTCTTTTATCGCATTGAGTTGAGGGAATATGAAATTCGAGAGTCAATGAGCAGCCTGGTGACCTATAGGCCTCTTTTACACCAGTCTTTAAGACTCAGGCCATAACGAGTTCCTGCTTAGCAAAAGCACTAAGAAAATGTTGGATGATTTGTGATTATTTGCGTGAAAGGTGAATTATGAATACACAAACCCCCTCGGAGGTCATTGAAAAGTCAAGACCACCGCCTCGTCGTAGAAAATCCCGTCATTCCGGTTGGCGGCCTGACAACTGCTTCCACTCTTGATAATCATTTCCGTAAAACTGTAGCCAGGGCTGTTGTCGATAGCGCACGCCTCAAGATGTCGTCGTGCCAGACTCTCCGTTCATCAAGGCAGCGAGGCTGGCCTCTTCATCGTCCGAATCATCATCATCGTCGTCGTCATGCATCAAATCAATGACCAGGATTGAGCCCGAGTTTAGCGTGTCCAGTTGAAACCCAGCCTGCAAGACCTCCGGAGCGTCGTGAATGCATCCAGAAACGCTCAATCCGATGTCCGCATCTCTCAGAGCCAAGCATACGACCCGGAAATGCTCATGGTGGGTATCTTGATCCTGATCAAAAATCAAGATGACGTTCTGGTGGGTGAGGCAGAAGGTTTCGCTGATTTTTGCATTCTTCAGCGCCGCCGAGATTTGTGCCGGTTGTGTCTTGTCCGTGATAGTAAGGCGGGTGAAGACCTTGCCGTTCAGAAGGTCCTTTGTCGCGATTGCATCCTTCGGCGTAAATATTGATACGTTCGGGGGAAGAGCCAGAGCGGCCGGGGCCGTTTTCGTGTTCGCGGATGACATGCTGGTGAGTCTTGATGTCGCCGGCTGGTTAGATGTATTTCTGAGTGAGTGATGAGTCTGCTGCCGCGAAAATATTTGATGGCTTATGTAATCCTGACGTAGACCCCGCATATACATCTCCTTCCCCGGGTTCCACTCGGTGCCGTGGCCGGTCCCACTTCCGGAATCCTGTCCGGAGAAGATAGTCTTTGTTGCTGACCGGCGTGGCGTTGCAGCAGGCGGAGACATGCAGCCCAGCTGAAGTCTAGGACAGCAGCATGTCTCGTATGGAGGTCGAGTAGCCTATGCACGGGTATTGACCTGCCTGATTTGGACGGGTAGCAATCACGAACAATTATCAGCGTTCCCTGTCCAATGACGTGAGTCAAATACAGTAGCACTATCGAATTTTCTTGCGCCATGCTTGACCAAATGAAGTCTCATGACACTTGATTTCCTTTCATTGACTGATGCAAGTAAGATGGCTGAATAATAGCCCATACACATTCAGTGCATGCACCATGCATGGCAGGCTCAACTGGCGACACAGGTACCGGCGCTTGATAGAAAGCCTGAAACTGTCTTCGAGTTGACGAACCTTTCCGATGAAATGGAACATTCAGTAAGACTGGTACTCAATGACGAAATTGGTGGTCTCGAGTCCTCGGGCAAAATACCGTAGTACATGGATCTTTGTCCTTCTCTGATGGGCTCAACTGTCTCGATGTCTTCCGAAGTCAGACGCTAAATGAACATATAAAGCACCATCTAGGCCACTTCGTAAGACATCCTGATTAACCCTAAAGCAAAATCATTCTTTCCATCATGATCACTCCCAAGTCTCTCGCTGCCAGTGCTTTGGCCCTTCTGCCCTTCGCTGTCCAAGCCACATACCCTTTCTACAACCCCGGCACTCTGCCTGGCAACTGGGACGCCTCTCGCGCAGAGCATGATGGGACAGTTCAACAAGTCACCAACATAGTATACAAAGGTACCACAGCCCTCAAAATGACACAAACCTACGACGCGTCTTATACCGGCCGATACCACTCCGAGGTAGACGTCTCGGACGGCTACACTCGTGGCGACGAGCGCTTCTACGGCTTCGCTTTTCGCTTGTCGGAGAGCTGGTCTTTCGAAGGGACGCAGTCTTACAACATCGCTCAGTTCATTGCCAATCGTCCCGGCGCGGGTTGCGGCGATGACGACTGGATGCCCTCGTCCATGCTCTGGCTCAAGGGCAATCAACTCACAACACGCATCGTCAGCGGACAATACACCAGTCCAAACTGCGTCCGCAACTTTTCTGAGTTTGGCAACCTTGCCACCGTCTCCGCTGGAGCATGGCACACGGTCATCATTCAGGCACGATGGAATAGCGACAACACGGGCTTCTACAAGATCTGGTTCGATGGAGCCAAGGTGCTTGAGAAGTACGATGTTGCTACAACGATTAGCAACGATAACAGCAAGTTCGCATTCCGTGTGGGCTTGTACGCTAATAGTTGGCACGACGATAATAAGATGGTTGGAAGCCAGGCATTCCGGCAAATCTGGTTTGATGAGGTTTCCGTCGACTCTACTTACAAGGCGGTCGACCCCGCTCAGTGAGCTCCTACAGCAGGGGGATGCTGACCATACATCTATGGAAGACTGAGAGCAGATCATTGCTTTAATCTCAATCATGATATCTCTATAGATGTATCAATCCAAGCCAGACCCTGCGATAACTATTGGTCATGCGATTCACCTGCATGGAGACTTCGAATGATAGAGTCCACATCCTCGATAGCCAATGGGCGAATGTCAGCCAGCGTCTTGATCTTCTCGGTTCTGGAATGTGATGTCAGTAAGCCTGCTGAGAGACTCAACCAGCCGAGTTCTTATTCAATAAGCACTTACACAATTCTGACTTGATCGTCCGGCATGTCCAGGCTAAGCTGGCTTACGCGGGTCTTGACTGCGTGCCAGCCCGTCAGTCTTGACTTGAAGTGGACGTATCGCGTCATCCCAAAGTCTGCGGGATTGATGATCTCGTAGTTGCTCGGATGGCTCAAGACCCCCTTGGCGTGGTAGCCAGACTTGTGCGTAAATGCACAGAACCCAGTGATGGGGTTGTTGAAGGGCGTGTTGATCTGCACAGCTTCTGCGACCATGTCTTCCAGCTCCTTGATCATGTACAACTTGTACTTGCTAGTGACGTATTCACGGTTCTGGACAATCATGCGCGCCATGAAGCCACCGAGGGGTGTGATGCCGTTGCGCTCGCCGATGCCGAGCACTGTGACGTCGATGTGGGTGGCGCCTGCCTCGAGGGCAGTGTACGCGTTCGCGGTAGCGCAGCCGGTGTCATCGTGGAAATGGGTATCGATGTCGCATGCTGGTTAGGTATTGAAAAGTCAGAAAATTCTGTGTCATATTTGACGTTCCTTTTCTTTTGTTGTTGCTGTTTTGAGGAAGCTGGTGTTTGGGAGCGGTGTTTGGGGGCGATGACTCACAGACAACCCCTCGAAGGGTTTGTGTCAGATCGTAGACCTGACGCGGGTTGGCGCAACCAATGGTGTCCGCAACTCCTACGCGATTGACCCCAATCTTATCCACGGTCTTGTAGACGGAAAGAATGTCGACGAGATTGGATCGGAAAGAGTCTTCAGTGGAAAATCTGACCTCGAGGCCCTGGGACTTGACGTATTCGATGACTTCGATTGCTGCCTTGATGATTTGGGCAACATCCTTGCCGTGAGAATGTTCGCGAAGGAGAGCCGACGTTCCCATCATGATGTTGCTGCATCAAACAATCAACCTCTGCTGCCAGTGACAGGGAATTGACTGTGGGGTTGCCTTACACTCCGTCAACACCGCACTCTACGGCCGCTCGTACATCATCCATATGGCATCGCACGTGTGCTAGAATCTTGGCCTGAAAAGCGTGTCAATCAGGAATGACGAAGAAGAAGTTTGGAGAAAAGCGTACGGAGGGTCGTACCTTGAGGCCAAGTCCGCATATAAGCTCGCAGTCCTTGCGTGACTGTGGAGATGCGACCGGAGTTGTAAGCTCAATGTAATCCACTCCAAACTCATCAAGCTTCTTGGCTCTGTCCTCATGTCAGCTAATATTCTGAATCGTTCGTTTGGTCAAGCAGTTCCGATCGGGGGCTCTTGCATCTTGATCTTGGTTTCTAAGGTAAACTGGTTAGCTGCTATCCATGAAGGGAATTTGTATCCGTGCAGGCCTTGACAGAACGTGGGAGCAAGATCAGGGGCAGGCAAGACAAACCTGTATCGAAGAAAGCATTCGCGAATTGCTCTCCCTCGCGAAGTGTTGTCTCAATCAACTTAAACCTTGAAACATTGCTCAGGAAGCTCTCGACTGGTCGGTTATAGATCTCGCGTGGTGCCGACTCGTTAGGGGCATGCGTTAGGCTACGAGAATCCGATCCATTGATGCTCGTCATTATTCCCGTATTCTAGTCTACGCGATTCGTTGGATCGTAGGAGGCAAAAGAATTGAAAACTTGAGGCTGGAATGCAAAAAGATTTGAAGTATAAGGACGGGAGTATGTATCTTCTAGTCTTTTGGGCGAACGTGGCGATGATGGAACAGCTTCTACACATCTTACGGCAACTCTCCAAAGACTGCCTTCTTAAACCCAAGCATTGACCTTTGTGACTCATTGCTACCGACTCACTTCATGGCGTTTCGTTGACCGGGAAGAAAAACTTCCCGATCATAGCCTGCGTAGGATTCGACAGGGAATCTGCCAGTGGGTAGATGTAGAGATAAAAGCTGCCGTAGTACTGTCCTATGTAAGGATGTAGTTTCGGAACGGGTCCGCTGCGTCGGAATGGCTCCGGAGTCCGGTACCCCCTGGCTAAGATTAAACTGGAAACGATCACCAAGAGTCTGGGCGAGGAAAATTTGCGGTTATGACTCAACAGATCAACACCACCGAAGCTTCCCAATCCAAAGGCAGCCCACTTCTTAATGTTTCATTTCTTTCGGCATCTTATCTACGAAAATTCTCCTTCATAATTACAGTTGAACTTCCTCAACTTCGATGCCAGCACTTGGCAAAACCCTGATCCACAAGAAGGCGCATACATTGTAAAGTGATAGCCGCCACGGCTCCCCCATGCGCCGGCGATCGACTAATGGATTGCAATTGCACATCAATCTTCTAAATATTTTCTATTGTAGTGCTATCTATCGTATTACTCCCAGCTCGTCCGTTTCAAATGTCCTAAGAATAGAGCCATGAGAATTTCCATAACAGCTAGACTTCTCACGGTGGTCATATAGACGAGTGAGTCATCTCTGAAGGCAGCTATCAATACGAACTTCAGCCAGCCCACATTTTGGTATGATTAATACGCATAGAGACGTTGGAAGGCTGATCCGGTTTGCTCTCGAAGCTGTCTCGGATTGCCTACCTCTACGATCCTACCGTTGTCCATCACCACTACAACATCATAGTCCTCAATGGTGTCGAGCCTGTGCGCCACGGCTAGAATGGTGTGGCTAGCGAGCTCCTCCCTGAGTACCTTTTGAAGCATTTTATCGGTTCCGTGATCGACACTGCTGGTTGCTTCATCCAGCAGCACGACCTTACTCTGGTCTTTGTGCAAGATGGCGCGAGCCAGAGCGAACAACTGCTGTTGGCCGTGGGACAGACCCAACTCAGCGAAGTCAGCGTCCAATCCGCCGCGAGACTTGATAACATCGTCCCAAAGAAACGTCTTCTCCAGTGCCTCCACAAGTGCTTCGTCTCCTGATTCTCCACCGAAGGATGCCTTCTGGTCAAGGTTGATTCGAACGCTCCCAGGAAGGGTCACTGGATCTTGAGGCAGAGTGATGAAGTGTGGTCGGATTGCCTTGCGCGAGAGAGAACAGAGGTCGACATCGTCAACCTGGATGGATCCCGACGGCGTTTCGAGAAGGCGAAGGAGAGTGAGAAGCAGAGAGGTTTTGCCGCTGTGTTGGCCAGCGTGAGTAGTGGTTCCCGTAATCGGTACTTATGTACAGAGAGATGACTTACCTTCCTGTGCGTCCACATATGCCGACCTTCTGGCCAGGCTTGATGCTCAGGGAAAGTTCGCGGATAATACTCTCATCATCGGTCCTTCGCAATAATTAGCACCAGCCCCTTTCACTAAATGTACGGCATGCGATGGGGGGAAATACTTGTATCTAGACTCTATACTCTTGAAGTCGATTGCACCAGGAGACGGCCACCCTTGAGGGACTGGAGGCAGACTCTGGGTATCAACGCCGTCTTCTTGAGGAGTATCGCGGGCAAAATCACGCAACCGGGCGATTGCACCGAGGGAAGTCTCCAAGTTCGTCCAAGAGCTAATCAACCTCGACAAGCTGGAGTTTAGGCCCATAAGACTGACCATGGACAGACCAATCGCACCACCGCTTGTCGTGTTGGTGAGTTTGACAGCGAAGGCAACCTGGGACTAGTCAGCACGCCCAAACAATGCAGAATAGAAGCGGCATTCTCACCAGAACGGTGGCAATCACCGCCACAAACAGGTCCAATATAATCGCTAGCCATCTTTGGATACAAAATAGGAGATAGTAAGGTCTCTGAGAAATGTCAAGTAGACGGAGTTGCTCTTTGACGAATTCCTGCTGCCACCCAAAGGCGCGGATGGTCACGACACCATTGAGAGTCTCCGTAAAGTGAGTGTAAAGAGGGGACTTTGACTCGAGATCAAGATGACGCATCTGCCGCGATGTCTTGAGATAGAACTTTTGCAGGAAGTATAAGGGCAAGACACAAAACGGAATGATAGCTGCGAAGTACTGGGCACCTGAGGCGATAAGTGCTGCAGAAGCGATAGCGACCAGAGTGTCGAGCACAACCTCGAAAAAGGCCGTAGGTAGAGTCTGGTCGACAAGCGTCATGTCCTGACTGAAGCGGTTCAGAGTGACTCCGCTGTCCACTGTTGTGAAGAACCACAAAGGAGCCTTGAGAACAGAGTCGAGAAGTTGCCAGTGAAGCCTTGTAGCTGAGTGGGGGATGACGACGACGAAAAACAGCCCAATGGCCAGTCCCGAGAACAAGACGGTTCCGATACAAAATGCCAGATAGGCGCCGAAGTAAGCGCCGCGGCTTCCATCGTTGGTTCCGCGCTCGGTCCAAATTCTGAGCCAGATATTTGGCATGAAGCCCAGAAAGATGTACGTGGCCGCAGCAAGAATGAATGTGATGGTTAGGGCTGGGCCTATGGATCGAAGGTAGAATTTGTAGAGCGAGAAGTCGCCCGATTGCCGCTGAGTAGCGTCTTCTTCCTTGGTTTCTGATGTCTCGGCCGCCGCTCTTACATCTTCATCCTGTTGAATGCTATCTTCAGGCTGAGGCTCAACATCGACGTCCTTGAATGCCGTGGCAAGATTGATCGAGGGTCCTGTTTGTTCAACAGAACCCGTCTTACTGAGAAGTATAACGTTGTCGGCAGTTGTCTTTCGTGGGCCTAGTGGAATCTTGTCAGTTGACGTGCTCACGGGATGACAACAATGGTGGTGGTTGCCGACAGTGAGCAGGCAAGCCGACTTACCGGCGGGGGTGGCGTGGATGACAGTGGTATCGCCTTTCCGCAGAAGACCCTCCTCACCAAGTAGACGGCTGAAAACTTTCGTTCGGGTCTCAGCGTCGAGAGCACTAAAAGGGTCATCTAGAAGGACGATAGCACGTCTCGCAAAGACAGCTCTCGCAAGCGCCTAGATAAGGCGTTCTCAGTGAACAGTGTTCTCAACGTAGGACTTGACGGTACTTACAACTCTTTGCTTCTGCCCACCGCTGAGTGTAATGCCTCCGCTACCAACAAGCGTGTCGTCTCCCTTTGGTAGTCTAGAAATATCTTGCTTTAGGTCGCAGGCGAAAAGAACACGTCCGTACCACTCATCTTCAAATTGCTCTTGGCCAACGATGTTGTTCTTGATGGAAATATTCCGTAGCCAAGCTGACTGTTCACAGAAAGCAACCGACATGTTGAGCTGTGCAAACCGGATGCTACCACTGATCAAAGGAAGTTCTCCAAGGATGGTCTTCAGTAACGTGGACTTTCCACATCCCACGACGCCAGTGACCTCTGTGTATTTGGCTCTTGGAACGGACAGCGTGATGTCTCGGAGGATTGGCTCGTCTTTTCCCTCGACGCCGACATTCACGTTCTCGAGACTGATAGCAGCGCCGGACTTCTCTGAAGATTGTGGCGCATGCATCTCCTTCATTTCTATGGCGCGGTGTTTTGAGGTCGTGTGCGACGTGGTATCGGGGATCGAAGTGGTGCTCATGGAAGCTTTCCTCTCGGAGGCGTCAGTGTCTTGCACTTGTTCGGGTCTGCGCTCGTCTTGTACGAGAAATTCTTGGATGCGACCGAAACAGGCGACAGAGGACACAAAAGTCGGGTAAGAGCCAATAAGGTTAGCCAGGGGTGTAGACACCAAGGCCACAATGGCGAGAGATGTGAAGGCCTGGGATATGGTGAATCCATCCGCCCGAGTCCAGAAGACTGCAGCCGTCACGACCACGGCTGGGGTCATCTGATCCGAGAGATTCGCTGTTGGAAGTGTCAGATGCGAGTGAATGGTGGAGTTTGCGAAGCCGGGGACTCACAGATGAGAATGATCCGCACGATAAACATCCTGAACTTCTTAGACATGTCAAGTTCTGCAACCCTGAGTTGCTGCACCATGGTGGCGAAGTAGTCGGTGAGACCCATCATCTTGATACCCTTGATCTGAGAAAGCATTGAAGAAGTTGTGGAAACGCGTTCCTGGACACCCTCGTTCCACATCATCCGGGCAGGACCAATGCCATCAGTGGCCCTCTCTGTGATAAAGCTGCACACTGTTGATCTGTCAGTCACAGAGTCAAAACGGCATAGGGGAGATACAAAGACCACTTACCAACGGCTGGAATCATAACGACAAAGCACGCAGCGCCGATTTGCAAATTCAGTAGATAGACAGCTATGCCTAGCTCGAGCACGCTAGCCCAAATCTCATGTAGATCTTTGACTCCACTAGCGATTGCGTCAATGTCGGTGCTCATGAGAGTAACAGCCTTTCCCTGGCTAGCTGTTGCGGCGTCCAGTCCAAGAGACTTTCTAAAGATAATAGAGACCAGTCCGCCTCGAAGCGTGGTCGTGAGTTGGTACACGGCATGGTTGTAAACGCCTTTGGAGATCTAAGAAATTAGTACACCACTCGCTACAATGGGAGAGAGGGCGGGGACACTGACTGCTAGCCCCAAATAAACCAGCAAAGCAGCTCCAATAAGTCCTGCTGCAACTTCGCCAGACTGCATGTCTCTAGACCCCCCCACGAACTCAATGATCCTCTTAATCAGAAAAGGTTGGGAAAAGTTGAAAGCTGCCAGGCACAATCGCGGAAGAATTGGGGCCAGGTAACCCGTTCTGAAAGCGGAGAGCGTGGATTTGAGCAAGGCATGGTTGAAAGATCTGTCGCTGCTATCCCACGAGGAGCTCAGCTTAGACAGCAGCCGAGCGGATTCAAACTTGCGATCGATGTTTCCGAGATCCCCGACATGTAACGTGCCCCTGGAACCTCGGAGGAATAAAGGGTTCAACCAGCCGAATACAGATCTGTTGATCGGCCCGCTGATCTCTTCCTTTGATAAAGGCTCCGGCAAACCTGACTTTGGTATTTCTTCCAGCAAGACAAGAAGAAGCTTCATGGCCAGAGACACTGCAAACACAGCTCCAATTCTTCCACTCGTATTGGGCTGTTGCAGAAAGAGCGATCTCGCTTGAGCCATGTCCACCAAAGCTGAGATGAACAAATAGATGCTGAGGAGCTTAGACGGCCTAGTTGAGCGGCCATGCTCCACATAGATCAAGCCGATGAGAAATATCGAGTTGACCAGGGCTAAAATAGCTGCTGCTAACGAGGCTGGAGTTCTGATTGTGGTCGGAAGTACCCATAGTGCCAAGAGAGTCACTTGGAGGGATAGATGAACTGTGCTCGCAGCCTGGAGGGAGATCTTAGATGTGGTTCTTCAACTTCTTTGTGGCCATGTCACGTACAAGCTTTGCCAAGAGAAGCCATCCGCTGCGCGGGATCGAATGTCTCCGCAACAGCCATGTGACCCGGCAGGGAAGGATCGCCAAGAAGAGCGCGGACGGGATGATGGACAGAATTGCTTGTTCAAAATAAAGCGTGAAGTCGAATTGTCCTGTCAATTGCGGCCCGAAGGCATCAAAATCCACCGACGCGTTCATCGCAGCACGGCTGTTGATGTCAGCAACGCAGTACAGCAGTCAAGAATGCGCAGGAGAGAAAAAAAGAAAGAGAGAGGAAGACCAAACAAATTTCCCGCCGTGGCGTGAGCACACACTGACAGCCCTTGCTGAAGTACCAACACGAAATGCAGGGCACGCCTGAGCCGGGGCGGGACCCGCGATCCCAGCTTCCTAGCTGGGTTAGTCTAGACCAGGTCCACATTGTGCAAGGGGTACAGGGATGTGATGCCGTCTTGGTAGATTTCACATTCAATTGGTTCAGTGTTGCGATCTCCACTGCAACTTCAGGGTTAATTAATAGGAATCATAGGAATCAAAAAGCTGGGACAATAAGCTTTCCTAGGAGAACTATCTGAAATCTATTCATCTATTCATACAAACAAGTCCACGGGTCGTCGATGCCACACTTTCCGAGCTCGGGGCGTTTACCAAAGTCTTTGAAAGGGCCTGGAACGTGGTGCTGAGCAGCCCACTCCTGAATCTGTCGATAAAACTGCGTGTAAGTCGTGGATTCGTTTGAATGGGCGGCTGCACTCACCTTGTCGAAATTGCGACACTCATGCACAACAGTAGAGCGAGCCCGAACATCGCCATATTTTGGGCTGTACTGGAAAACGTTCGGGATAACATCTCCGGTGCACTGGATTGACTGCCTGAGTGAGTCAATGCAATGGTCTAGATGCATGAAACCCAAGTGATCGCCACCACGATCTTCAAGCGCGGCTTCAGGCGATTCGTATAAGAGGTAAGGGTTATGTGTGCTGTTCCATTGCGGTTCGAGGAAGTAATAGAGCCCCTTTCGAATGTTATCCATGCAATGTAGATCGTGGAAGACATTCAGGACGACTAGGTATCCGCTTCCTTCAGACTCGAGCTCGGGTGCGGTCTTGTTCGGTAGCATTCGCGCCTCTCCTTCCGTGATATGCGTGAACATATCTGCGTAGAAAGACTTGTCAACTCGGTTTCAAGAAAATCAAGATGCCATTTTGCTCACTTTCATACAAACCCTGCCAAGCTTGATCAGTTTTCACTGAAGGCCTTCCCTGGAAGTCTGTCTCGCCTCCCTCGACTGCGCTCGCAAATTTGGTCAAATGATACTCGACAGCATCATTGGCTGGAGCTAGAAGATATTAGACACGCTCAGAAGAGTATATCAGCGTGAATTGACTTACAGTAGAGAGCTATGGCAGTTTTGGCTGAGCTCGATGGATTCGAATTCGGTAGCTCAGCTCTGTAGAACAAAAGACTGAGTAGTCCGAGATTTAGCATGAGCGACAAGCCAAACCCAAGCAGAAGAGCCCAGAAGTACTGGTGTCGACATGGCTTCTGGACTTGTTCCACGTTGTCATCCTCATACCCAGACAACGAAGATGAAAGCAGTCTCTCCTTAGAAGCAGAGCAGTTGATTTCACCCATCTTGAGGTCAGTTGCAAACGAGAAGCAATGTGTTCGGATCGCCGCCAGCTACCATAGAGAATGGAATCCCAGCATGAAATGGTCGAGGTGTCGCGGTCTCTATCCCACACATCGAGGGCACCTGGGATAGACTCAAATCCCAGTCATCTGAACAGACATCTGACTGTGCCTCAATTGGAGGATTTCCCCCTCGACATGGCGCAATTCAAAGACAGCCGCCAGGAAGGAGTTCACGAAAGTTCCTTTTGCGTTCTTCTGGTGGTTGCAGTGCAGATCTATCCTTGTTGAAATCATTTTCTGACCGGCCTCGAACGATCTCGGTATGTGGACCGGAGGCTTGGTTGGTTTCCGAGCTCCAACGGTTGTCCACGGCTCAGCTTCATTCAGGGGAGGTGAAAGAACGGGCGCAGAAATAAGCTCCGTGGCGACGAGTTTGGAACTTCTGTGGCATGGAATTGCTGAAGTCCCATAGCTTGCGGCTTGCACGAGGAGGTCTAGCCCCTCAAAACTGAGTCGTACTCGTCAATAACCGCCTTTGAGCCCTGGCAGTAAATTGCTGTGCCTGTTATGTTTGTGTTGCGAATGGACTTTTCAGGGTCCAGACTTCTGTTGGTTCTTCTTGGCATCGGAAACCCGGCAATCTTACAGGCCCGCCTAATTGCTTATTGCTCATTGCGCGGCAGAATCTCCTTTAGGAAGGAGATAGAGTGACTCGTGCGAGAACGCAGTCGTGCGGCACAGGTACCAAATCAGAATCAACACCAAAGTCCCCTTTTTTCAGGCCTGCCAGCCCAACTGAACTGCCTCTTTGGTCTGCAAAACCGCAGAGGAGCCGTTGGTCGGCTGCGTCAGCAAGTCTCTCGGCTGGATCATGGTATCTCTACCTGGGCTATTGGTATCTGTGCCTTACACCAACATAACATTCTTTCGATCAAACGCTATCTGATTCCGCTTCCGCTTCGGGAAAAGGCTTTCAAGCTGAATCCAAGTAGGGTAAGATGCGCCGAGGCATGCCGCAGCAACTCGCCGGGATGTGTTGGCGCTTGGCAGGGGTCCAACAAGAGTCGATGGGCCGGGGCGCAAGGGCGGGTCCGGGCCGATGGAAAGGGTCCCGGTAACTTTATCGTCATGTTTTATTCTGTGTCTACAAGCCCGCACCAAGGATTGCCGACGGCGGAAGAAGGGGTAGGGCCACTCATAGACTATCGGGTTATCACCCTGAGTTTTGCGCCGCAAATATTACCTCTAGCTAAACTTTTACTACATTCAAGCCCCGTGATGATGGGAGCTGTGTGACTTGCCCTGTCCGTCTCCACCTATCCAGACTGGAGAAGCTACGTTAACTTCGTGAAGCGCATCTTCTGACATGAAAATCTCGTAGCAGTGCTCAATATGGCTTTCCTTGTCGTACCGGCTTTCCGTCCCAAGACCCTTAGCCCTCATCCTGAACTCCTTGCGCCAGTAAAAGGCGCAGTGAGCAATATGCCACCCTGTTGATGTGTAGAAAATTGCCTGTTCATGCGGCAGGTCGGCGAGACGAGAAATGCTCTCAATGTTGATGGGAATGGTTGCATTTTTGTCCGCGTAGTAGGGCCAACTGCCATTCGGACCGGCGCGATCAAACTCGGCCACCAGCTCGTCTTCCCGGCAATGGTCCGGAAGCCAGGAAACTGAGAGAGTGTCATACTTGCACCCAAGATCGAGGGCTTCGGAAACAGATGAGCCGCATTGACAACTAACGGGCTGTGGTGGTCGAGGGCCTGAATTTTGCGAGCCGATAAAATATGCCACGCCAGAAAGACCCAGAATGGTCAAGAGGGCATGGCAGATGAGAGTGCGAGAAGAGGCAAGCGCTGTTGTATAATGCTTTGCTGGCGGCTCTGGCACCTCCGAATCATCTCCATTGCAGCTAGATGATATCTCTTCTGCTGTGCTTGGTAAAGAAGAGTAGTTGGCCTTCTTGCTTTCAAAGACTGAAAAATGCATTGTCAGGAAGGTTTCTTTGACAGTTGGAAACATGTGCTTGAACTTGCGGAGGACAACGAAGAAGGGCTTCAGACGAAAATTTCCTTTGGAAACGACGCAGCATGTAACTTACATTCAATTCGAGTCATTTGCGTCGGGGTTCCTTTCTCTGCTGTGCCTCATCAATGTGGCGACATCCAAAAGAACTTCCGTAGCACGTCGGATATTCAAAAGCTGACATGGTGAGATACCACTAACGCTGCCAAGAAATAGGATGCATTTTCTCATCAACAAGGATGCGAAATGGCTGGAACATCGTTGGAACTTCTTGTGAGCCACCCTGGTCGGCCGCCAGCGTGCAGTCAGTTCTGCAGGGACCCTGCCCAGATGTCTTCGGAGTTTCAAGCACCCATCGCTGTCGGTCTTGGAGCCGCTTCTACTTTACAAACAGGCCCGATGCTATCACGGAGTCTCGGTCCAATGAGAACATTGTAAGAGAAAGTCGTGATGCGGCGCAGACATGACGAGTTGCTCAAACTCGCCGGCGGGAGCCGCGGCTACGCATTTGGCCGAAATCCTGAGATGCAATCGGCCTTGTGAGCGCCGGGATCAACAACACCAAATCATGTATGTGAACGTTATGTTCTATTCACTTGGCGACATCCGAATAGGTATATAAACCTCAATGCCTTCCTCTCGTCAGGACTTTTGGTCATCAAAGCAATCAGTTCATCCACACTACCCAAGCACTCGAACATCCAGCCAACTTTGTTTCAAATCTCAGACCTGCATCTCAGCTCTTTTCTCATCGCAACAGACAAAATGAAGACTCAAATCATCTCGGTCCTCTCTCTGGTGGCTGTTGTCACAGCGCTGCCTTTCATCGAATCCAACAAGGTTGCTGCCGAAGGCTCTGATGCCACTCCCCAGGTCTATCCCGCTAAGTGGGCTCGCGAGGAGACCGATGCCACTCCTCAGGTTTACCCTGCGAAGTGGGCTCGTGAGGAGACCGATGCTACTCCTCAGGTCTATCCCGCTAAGTGGGCTCGCGAAGAGACCGATGCCACTCCTCAGGTTTACCCTGCGAAGTGGGCTCGCGAGGAGACCGATGCCACTCCTCAAGTTTACCCTGCGAAGTGGGCTCGCGAGGAGACCGATGCCACCGTCCAGGTGTATCCTGCTAAGTGGGCTTGAGTCTTAAAGGTAGGCATTGATCTTTCTTCCAGATACTTAAGCCGAGAACTAATGGAAACACTAGAACCGGAGTGACCGAAGCTTGAGCAGGGTCAGCATCTCAGGGAACGGCAATAGGCAAGAGATTTGGATGCTCTTGGAGGGCTGGTTGGAAAGAAGGGCATTCGCGTCGCAGCGGTGGAAGTTATCCATACAAACTTGAACTAGAGTAGAAAGCAAACAGATAGTCCAGCGCAATGACAACTACAGTTCATAACAAGATATCTGTCAGTGAACAGCGAAGTGATGTTGTGGTCGAGACTCTTCTAATTCGGAGTTTTACGGCTTTGAAGCAGTGACACAAACCTTTTAAGTAGTCACACCGTTCTAAGAGTCCATACAACATTCCGAGAAAGATGCACATAGCAGAATGGGTTAGCTTGGAAATCAACAGAACTTATGTGATCTTGTTGGTTTGGATCGTATCCCTGTCAATTGGCCCGCATGCTCTCGCGCCTGCATGTCGCGGATGCCACGGCAGCTTACGCGAATAGGAAGGTAAGGAGTGACTTGGACCAGAGCGGAGTCTGGACTTCTCAAATGGCGGTATTTCTATTGCCGCCTGCCATGGTGCTGCCCTTTAAAGTCGTGCATGCTCCTAGGTTTGCCCTCGCACCAACGTCTACTTGCCCCCCAAATTCCCCTCTTGGTCACCCAAATTGCGCGCAATATCCCATCACGATCAATTGCGTGAGCACATCCATCCTTGCGCCATCCATATTTATGTCGCAGTCAGGACCTCAGTTCTTACTTGTCGAGAACGACTGCGTCGGAATCCCTCGCTCCACCATGGCCTCGGAAGGCGAGGAGGTCGGCGTCGAGTCACCATCACTAAACCAGGAGCTCTCAAATCTCAACATAGGAGACCCGGATGCGCAAGACTCGGAATTATCAGATGAGAGCGACGTCTCAGTTGATGCTTTCGATCCTACTCAATGTCTTTTCTGCAATTGTCACGGTGAAGACCTGGACGAAAACCTTGATCATATGCGAAAGCGACACGGCATGATCATTCCCTATCCTGAGAGTTTGATAGTCGACCTTGAAACATTAGTCAAGTACCTCCATCTCGTAATCTACGAGTACACCGAATGTCTCTATTGTGGATCTATCCGGAATACTCCACAGGCCGCGCAACAACATATGACTGGGAAGGGACACTGCAAAATTGACGTCGAAAAGGAGAACTCTGAGTTCAAAGACTTTTATGACTTTCAATCTAACGCCGGTTCAGATGGTGCCCGCTTCGGCGATTCGGGACCCGCTTGCTTTGTTGACGCGGAAGACGAAACAAGGCGCTTGCCTTCGGGGAAGACGGTATCCCATCGAAAGGCGAAGAAAGTTCGTGATCACCGAGATTTGAAGTCGGGAGAAGAAATCGACAATTTCTCTCTCTTGGAAGAAGGGAAGCGCCCCGATAGCCTCAGTGATTCCACAGCTATGGTGGTCAACAATGGGAAAACCAAAGATCTGGTTGTGTCTGAGAAGAGCAATGACCTATTCGACAAGCAACTGGCAACAATGAGGCAAGGAGATCGATTGGCTCTTGCTCATTTGCCTCTTCCGCAGCAGAGAACGCTGGTTGTCAAGGCAAAGAAGCAACAAGAGATGTGGAATCGCTTTGAAAACGACCAAGCAATCAAACTCCAGTGCAAAGCCAAAGCAAAATGAGACGTATCTACTGTTTAGCAATATGATCAATGTGACCAAGATGCAAGAAATGTTTGATTGTCCTCTACTCTCCACCGCTCAATTCATAAGAAGGGCCTTCCCGGCTAGATGCCTTATTCATGGGTGTATTACACATGAAGATGGGAGTCTAGGAAAACGCTGAGTGTCATTAATGGGGTAAAATCCAAACAACCTAAGCATACACATGCCTGGCCGGCGCTGACCACATTTAATAGATGCCCACCGCAATTGTATTTCTGGGATAGCTCTTTAATGGTACAATGATGTGGCGAGCCTGAACCAGTCTCCCCTAAGCAGACGTACAGAGGTACTGATTGTCGTGTACGTTTAAACCCTAGTTTGAAATGAATTTGACAATCCAAATATCTTTTTGCAATTTAACATTGGCCTCGGGTCAGAGTTGAAAACTGTTCTTCGTACCGAAGTATTCTTGGAAAGCGGGTGGCCATAGTTCAACACACCCACTAGGTGGGTGCAGCGCCGTCCTCACCAGACTCCCGCACCAATGAAACCCAAGGCGAAGTCAGGAGATTTTCTCCCGAACTGTTGGTTTCTGCAGCGGGACTATTTGCACGATCCACTGGTTCACACGTTCAGTCTCCGCCAATAAGTAGACCTTCATCAGGAACGCCCTAACGAAATTGAGCCGTTTGAGTCAAACAACCACATTCTGCAGCCTCGAATTGACCAGAGGCGGGGTCCGCGGCACTTGAGACCACTTCACGGGCCGCCACGTAGAGGTGAGGCGGAGTTGGGCCAGCTAGAGTGCCAAGTTTAAACTTCAACTGGGATGCTGCTGGTTTGCGAGTGACGTGGGCGTGGAGCCGAGGAATTAAAGACTGATGTGCACCGCTAGTTCCCGATCTGCGATAGAGCATAGATCCCTTCGGCTTGGATCCCCCTTAGAGATTTCTAGAATCTCCACAAATGGTAACCGAAACGCCAACGGTCGTGATGATGGACGGATCCCTGGGGTTCAGATCGCGAAGCGCTCGGTAAGTGGGAGTCCTGCGAAGGCCACCAAAGCCCAACTCGAAAGCCTCGTGCAGCTTTTCAAAATTTCTACATGAAAAAGGGAGAAGAGCTGGAACGTCCTAAAAGCACATCTGGCTTTTTGAATTTAGGGCATAAATGTCTGTTGTGGTTGTTGGGCCACCATCGACCCCGGGCACCATTCAGCTGTGGGAGGTTGTCGTGAACCCACGGACGGTGCTAAGATGCTTGTAGGCAAATCCCAGACACGGCAAAGTAGCAACCAGCGCACGTCAGCATGTGTCGTAAGGCAGAGTCCATGCAAGCACAAACTCAACGGGCCAGCCGACGTCACATCTGAAACGGCCCAGATGAACGCGCGGAGCATGCCGCTCTCGCCGCGAATATCAAGGCGAGCACGCCTCGGGTTGGGCTGCAGAGAGGGGGTGGCATTCTTGAAATTAAAGGCAGAGAAGGGATCCAGAAGTCTTTTTATTCTTTGCCCGCTTCGATGATTCGACTGTGAAATCTACGCGTTCTATCATTGTCGTCCACTTATCATTATTACATGATCATGGATACCATATCAGACGCCGTCAAGCTTTGTAAGATTGCTCTGGATGCAAAGAAGCTCCAGGAGATCAACTACGGCCCGCCACGGCCTACGCAAGTCACTTTGTTCTGGAACCTCGTGGTTCTCTCTCGGTACAACAAGTACACGCCCCTCTTCACCACGTTCGCAGGAGGTATGTTTCCGTAAAGCCGACGTTTTCAAACCAGCACGACTGAGCAGAGACAGTGTGGTCCGCTTTGCTAGCTGGAGCAACCGAGCTATCCAACCCCCATTCGAACATTCAACCCGCTTTCGTCTTCCGACAGACTGCGTTATGTTTCCTTTCGGCCTACCTGTTTTGCGGTGCGGCAATGGTTTGGAACGACTATGTCGACCGTGAAATCGACGCAAAGGTCGCTCGGACGAAGGATCGCCCGCTAGCGGCCGAGAAGGTCACCGTGACCGATGCCATGCTGTGGATGGCGCTGCAGCTGCTGATGGCTTTGTCTTTGGTTCACAAGATGCTTGATGGGAAGGATGTGTATGGCTTGTACCTGCATGTCGCCGGATGTCTGTTGCTAACTTCAGTATAGGTGGAAGCACATGATACCCGTCATCATCGCCTCTATTCTTTATCCTTACGGAAAGCGACCGAATGCCCGCCGCCTTCGCATCTACCCGCAATACATACTTGGCTTCACCATCGCCTGGCCCGCCGTGATGGGACGCTCAGCCATTTACGGTCGGCAGCAACCTTTCGACTTCACCGTCAGCCAGTGCTTCCCACTTTGCACAATGGTGTTCTTCTGGATCATCTACCTGAACACTGCGTACAGCTACCAGGACATCGTCGATGATCAAAAGATGCGAATCAACTCGTTCTATACGGTTGGCGGACGGAACTTCCATCGGTTCCTTGTCGCCCTCGTCGGCCCGATTCTGATCTGCCTGCCCTTGTATTTGATTCAGTTCCGATCATGGTGGCTCTGGACCAGCTGGATGGGAGTCTGGACCGTGACCTTCTTCAAGCAGCTGTCCCAGTTCGATCCTAGATGGCCTGCGACCGGAGGCGGAGTACACAAGAGCAACTTCGTCCTCGGAGTCTGGACGATCGTGGCATGCGCTGTCGAGGTGCTCCTGAAAGACGTTGATACCACGCGCTCTGCTTTCAACCTCGATGGTTTTGTATATAACAATGCGTCTGCTTGATTGTTTGCTGCGAAATGATACCAGAGACTGCCGAGTCTAGCGATAAATGTTTTCGATGATATCAGTCTGCCACAGTCGAGGATAGCAAACCCGACTCGAGTGCCTGCATGGCACGTCAGGAACAAAAGGCAGGCACAGTACAGTACCCGGCAATGATTTATGATTAGGTGAATGAGAGTAGAAATACACGAGAGCGTTACGGAGTTATAAGTAATGCTTGAATCCCGTTCTTTCGGTGATGTTTTATTTCCGTCAATATCTGCCCTACAACGACATCACGTTCAGTACAATGAGGTGGTTTTACAGCATTATGCAAGTACATTAAGTTCTACACATGAACAATCCATCGCGTCGCACTTCAACTAGATCTACCAAGTCCCTGAACTTTCATACGACAAATCACTGAGCCGACGACAAGGTCAATCAAAAAGGCCTAGCCACGCTCTAGAATTCATACCCATATCCACCACCGAGACGGCCAGAAATCCCAAAGAGGTCTATGATCCATGTGAAGAATCCGAGGACGAGCCCCAAGATGCCGTACCTGAATAAGTCTGGCATCAGGAATATGGAGTCTTTGTACCTCAGTCCCGGAATCTTCTGCGTCAGAGATCTGGGATCGTCGAGGTAGTAGTAGAACCGCGTTCCCATAGTCTTGAACGGGGTCTTGAAGATATAATTCATCGCGTAATACGTAATCGAGCCGACGGCATCGAAACGAAGCTCGCCATGGGCGCCATGAGAACGGAAGTAGTTCACAATGCGCCGGACCAGCCCAATCATCTCGTCGTTCGTGAGGTACGGAGTAAGACCTTCGAAAAGGATCAGAACTGGCCGGTCGACAGGAATCTTGGCCTCGCGTTGCCAAGTGTCGCTGTGAATGTTGGGGTGGATCAAGCGGTACTCAGCCCCTTTGACTGGTTCCGGGTCATTCAAAACTTGGCGCCGTAGTTCGATGACATCCTCCTTATCCGCGTCGATCCACACCCTTCCCTCTCCCTGCCACTGCACGCGATGGCATCTCGAGTCCATCCCGCATGCCAAGTGGATCACCGTTGCAGGACCCGGATTTCTTCGAAGAAACCTCTCAGTGCAAATGTCTAGCATGCGACCGCGCATAGCTACCGGTGCGGAGAACGTTGGAATTCTCGTGAATCCCATGGATGTTCGATTGAAATCATAGCCCTGTTCCTTGATCTGGTTGACGATCTCTAGGGCGTACTGGTCATTCAGAATCGGCGATGCAGACTCGGCATCCTTGGCGCGGGCGAAGAGGGTGAGCAGGAGAGTTTCCTGCGCACCTGACAACTTCACCTTGCCTTTGCTCAGAGCAGTTGTTGTAACAGCCGTGGACATCGTGATAGCTTGGGAGTGTGATTGCGGCTCAGAGCTGGAAATGCGATGGAATTCACTGCCTTTTGGCTGTTGACACTGACTGCTTCATAAAGCCCGTGAGGAGACGGCTTGACATTAGAAACGGCATGTGCCTCGGCATATGACCACAACCCGGCCGGCGTACGGACGACGTGTGCGTGGCAGGCCGTGGCTCGTGTCTTCGAAAACGTTCACTTTCCTTCGAAACTCCGGCGCCGATGAAAGTCATCTCATCCCTGCTTCCCCGGTGGAAGCCACCACAGCTCGCAACCATGAGACGCATGGCCAAATCGGATGGAGAACAATGCGACAAACACGACCGCTCGTTCTCGCCAGTCTCAGCGGGGTTCGGGTACGAGCAGAACTGGGTTCCCTACGGACTCCGGCAGTCGGGATGCGCTGCAGCGGCGGCATGGAAGCTTCTGCCCCGTGCATGAATTGACTTCTGAAGCTTCGATACATGACCTCATGATATCACATGAGGGCGGCACAGGCGCGGTATGCTGAGGTAAGGTCAGCTACATCCTTAGCTTATCGTCGCTGCCTACAGCCTAATTGAGTCATGGTAACGAGCTGTCAGGGTGGATGATCGGGGGCCTGCCATCGGCCGAGAGCACTTTTACGAGCGTATTCGTATCTCAGAACCACTGCGAGCTGTAAGCAGCTCTCATGCGCTAGCTCGTGAAGCAAGCTGGAACATCAGAGACTTCCGTTTTGTTTTCATGGCTCCGTGTTACACGAGCAGACCCAATACGTATCAGCGCAGGCTTCATGTTGAGATGCACAACACAGAAACGTCTAAGTCCCTCTTTGCGTTTGAAAATGCCAAATGCATTCGAAAGCAACTGCTCGGTGAAGGTGCAACGAGGTA